GATATACTGATGCTCAAAACTTTAATGTATGCCGCTTGTTTGGCAATGTGCTAGGTTGAATCTTTCTGATCACTGCTGAACGAGGGCTTCCTGAAAGCGTTTCGCAGATGAAGCTGTTGCAAATGATATAGCCGTCAAGGGAAGGCATCCAGAATGGCCGAATTGGTCATCAACATCCTTGAAATATATATACGAATGACGGCATTAAGATGATCGGCAGTCGTGTAAGTTGAGCAGGAACATCCCTGTGCTTGTGCTTGAGTGTAGGTCCTCAGCCACCTTTAATGATTCTGTTCAACGTCTATATATATGAGGCTCAGTCCACTCTCTGCTGTATTGCACAGTAAGGTGAGCTGACCACGGTTTCATCTGACAGGATGGATAATGGCAACTCATTGAATAGCTGATTCGGTCACAGGATGATGCTCGATAGCCTGTTCAATCGCCAATTTTGATCTGCAATTTCATGGCTTGATATCCCACTCTGAGCGTCACCAGCGGCATCAGTCAAGTATCAATCATGAATAGATAGGCCTGGACTCGACTGCCCCGACACGACAACATGTGAAGACTGCTCTAATCAAACAATCTAGACGATGGGAATGTTGCTCAAGTCGTGATGTTAACAGACCTTCTACAAAACATAATAGACGTCCCGTCATCCTGTATCCGGCTAATGGTGGAGTTATGACGATATAGACTTGGTGGAGGGGCATTGGCACTACGGAAGTACCGTATCGTACACATGAGCAGTAATGCTATCACCATCAAGCAAGAGGTCGACAAACAACTCGACAAAGCTTATACATACCTCGTGAAAGAGTTTCTTAATTCAAGACGACATCATTCACAACCTCACAACATATAACAATGGCTCACAAAACAGTCCTCATCACCGGCGCATCCCGCGGCATTGGTCTCGCTATCGCACGCCATCTTCTACAAGCACCAAGATCGAGCCAAGTAGTGGTCACTTCAAGATCAGCAGAGCCACTCGAGAAGCTGAGGGCTGAGTTCCCTGAGCAAGTCGCTGTGGTTGCAGGCGATGCCACGGATCCTGCTATCGCAGCTAAGGCCGTGTCGACGGCTGTTGAGAAGTTCGGTGGTCTCGATGGTTTGGTGATCAACCATGCCACTTTAGGAGAGGTGAAGAAGGTGGCGGATTCGGATATTAGTTCCTGGAGAAAGGACTACGAGATTAATTTCTTCAGTGCTGTTGAATTTGTATGTCTAAAAAATTTGAGAAGAGAAGAGAGAAGGGGGAGGATACGGAATTGGAGAATTGACGTATGCTAATTACTCGCGTTATACAGGTGAAAGCAGCAATCCCCCATCTCAGAAAGTCCAAGGGCAAGATAGTCTTCACCTCCTCTGGAGCAGCAGTCAAGGGATACCAGGGTTGGGGATTCTACGGATCGTCAAAGGCTGCTATGAATCATCTCGCCATGACTCTCGCCCGCGAGGAAGCCGATATCGTTTCAGTGGCTGTCAGACCGGGAGTCGTCGATACTCAGATGCAGGTCGATATCAGAGGCGGACACCTCGAGTACATGGGTGAAGACGGACAGAGATTGAAGGATGCGTTCACGCATGGGCAATTGTTGAAGCCAGAACAGCCGGGTAATGTCATTGCGAACCTTGCGTTGGATGCGACGAAGGATTTGTCGGGCAAATTCCTCTCGTGAGTCGAGTCTACTTGCTACGAATATATTTGGGATGAATACGGCTAACACATATTGACAGATGGAATGATGAGATCCTCAAAAGTTATCAGGAATAAATTGATTGATGGTCTGATTTTATATATGCATGAACTCTATAAAATTCCAATGAGATGGATGGATGAATCTGTGTAAACGATATATCAATATATGTTTTCCGATTTATATAAAAAATGGCAATCATAAATGGAAGAAACAGTGGAAAAGACATCATGCGAAAGATGAAAATGGATACACAGGTTTAAGCATTGGCCATTGAGACCTCATACTTAGCATGGAGTGATTTTTTTAATCATTTGTCTGGATGGAAGAGGGATTATTGCAAGGTGAGGTGCATATCAAACGTACCATTTTAGAAAGAGTATGCTATCTGCAACAAAGCATATTGAAACCTGGAAGTCAGTACTGTGTCGATGATGAATAGCCAAGACGGAGAGATGCGCAGCCGATGTCGCCATTATATTGTCAGATGATGAAATATGTGTCGTCGTTGATAGATATCCGAATTTGATAGTACGCTGCATATTGTAACATCATATAGGCGAATCGGCGTATGCGAGCAGTGGGCGGAAAGTGGTGTTTTGCGCGAGCATACCTACAACACATAGAGAAAAGATATATACGGAGAAAAAAAAGATGATAATGGAAGATGATAATATTTCAATTGTAACTAGTCTTGTTTGAGAGTCAGCGACGGGTTCTTGTGGTATTATATGCGTGAACGATATGATGCGAAAAAGTATTGGAAAATTCCACGAAAAAGATATCAGATAGTCCGTTTGGCTTAGGACAGGTAATCACCACGAGATGTATGATAGGGGCGACACTAATGATCATCATGCGAAAGAGGGAGGAAACTTTCCAACAGGGAAGATTGGAAGGCAAAAAACAGAAAAGAGTGAAGAAAAGGAATGGAACTCACCATTATATGATTTCTACGCCAGACCAGCTGAACGTCGAGCAGAAAGAATCTCAAGCTCTCTCCATTTTTGTCAAATCATGGCGGGCACAGTCGCAAGGCCAGCCAGAAACCAGCGCTCCCCCTGCTCCCCTGCCTATTGCACAAAGATGAATCGACAAAGGAAGAACAAGACTCAAGGGAAGAGATGAGTTCTTTCTCTCTGCGCTCCTTTTTGTACTCAGATGAAATTTTTAAACGATTTTTTTTCTTTCTTTTAAGCGGGAAGAAATCCATAAAGGGTTAGTTGATGCTTGGCGTATTAAGCGCGCGCCTAATCTAGATTCTAAGCGCGTTATACATTCAATTCGATTGAAAACCTCCTGCAATTGGCTTTATATATGGTATTCACGGCTTCATTTGTCACATACGGCCATAGGGATTGGAGAACAGGGCTTCCCGTCCGCTCAGCCATACTTAAGCCAATCGCCGGCTGGTTAGTAGTTGGGTGGGTGACCACCAGCGAATCCCAGCTGCTGTATGTCATTTTTTTTTTCTCTTGCGTCATTCTTATGGCTATGAGTGGGAACTATAGAAGAAAGTCAATTCAATTCAATTCAGGGGATGGGATGAAATGACGGGGACGGCGATGGCGAACGCTTGAGAAAGTCGACGTTTTATTTTACTTTTCTTATAAAGTCAGATGTGACACGTTATAAACATCAGGACTAGATGCTGGCAGAAGTGTTTCATATGTTGTCTAAAAGTATGACTGTTGAGACCAAATTGCTACATACGATGCAGATGCCACGTTCTAGCAGTATCAGCCATATCTCCGGGCTCAAACACTGCAATAAGGAGCAGCTTCGGCTTTGCTTTTACCCTCTTACCCTTGCTCTTCTTCCCCGCGCCCCTCTGTGTGGTTTCAAAGGTTAACTATGTACTTGGGTTCTTACGTATGGGCTGCTTCTGCCGCTACTATACTTAACCATCCGACAGTTACGGATCCTGAAACCGGGCTTCTATTTGATTGCATCCATCCATCGCATGTCATGCCACGTGGGCTGTGGAAGATGTTTCATCTTTAGGGGTCGAGAATGAATGAACGTGATTATGCAGCGAACTTCTTCGGCGCTCTGGCACCTGGAATAAGGGTGGGTAGAGCAAGAGCCGCTGCCGGACAGTGGTTCATGTCATGATGGCTCGGATGCCACGACATACTATTGTACTGCAGCACTCTGGAAGCATATTGTTCAAGGGAAGAGAACCAGGCCGACTACAGCTGGCAAAGCATCCCAAGAAACGGAATCGAAAGAAGGTATTCCTACAGGCTCAATATTGCGATCAATAACAGCAATGGCCTGATAATCGCTTGTGACGACGCATATCACTGCAGGAGAAAACAATCCATCTGTATGCACGTTTTGAATCGGTTGCTTTTCCTCTGCAGACCACCAACCGGTATCTACTGCACCGTTTGCGCCGAGTTGCGAATCCCCGTACAATTTTCTCCAAGGGTGTCTTTCTCCTTGGAAGGCTTTTCTCCCTCTTGTTTTACAGGCAGATCTCCATCCCCAAGAAAAGCGGGTGTCCTGATGAATCAGAAAATTGTGACTCGTACGGTTGCATCTTGTACCCGGCGTGAGCCCCATACGGATAGCCGTGTGGCATTTTTCCTGAGACCACCCACTCGCTCTCTGATCCGGGCCCCCTTTGTGATTCAAGTTACTCTTGGAGAAAGAAAAGCCTATATACTCCAATCGGAAAGTGGTATATCGCCGGAATTTATATACTTTGTCCTCCTATATGATACGACCGGAAGTTTAGCGAAGTAAAACTCGAGAGAGGGGAGCAAGAGAAAAGTAACAAAAACAAAAAAAGGGAGCAAGATAAATTCCTTCAAAGTAAGACAGACAGCCATCTCTCTACCCATTCTTCTCTCTAATTCAATGTCCCGGCTTTTTGGCCACAGACTCAATCCCTGGCTTCATACGTACAACAAAAGCCACCTTCTTACATTGACGCAATTTGACATATTACACCATACAGAGCAACAACTTCGCTGATCCCTGGGTCTCGTCAATCAAAGGCTGAAGAGGTCTGTGACACCCTCCACATGCCGCACGTGTTGGACGGCCAATCCAGTTTTCATAATCCCCCCTGCAACAAGCTAGACTAAACACGGGGTTGAACGCCTCTTTGCCGAGCTCCATTATCCCTTCTTCAGTTTCGTTCCAATCGAAACCGTCCGTTCTTGTTTCCGTTCATTCTTCGGGCTGAGAACAAAGAACAATAAAGCCTTTCTCCTCAATTATCCTCCATCACCAGTTCCCAATTTCTCTCGAAACGGAAAAGAAAAAACAGAAGAAGATAAAAATACAATGCCGTCCCTAGCACAGGAAGAAGCGGATAGACTCCTTAACTCCAAGGAGCATTTTACCAATCATCCCGAAGATCGATTCGATTCAGCAGACGAAGAAGAGGGCAACTCATCATCTGGGCAGGACCCTGGCAACGACGAGAAGTACTATCATTCCGAACACGATATCGACGACGACGATTTGGACGACTTGGACGATACTACAGATACCATTACCCGCAGAATGATGTCCCTACGGAGAAAGAGCGTGAACTATCATGTTCCCAAAACAGTATTTGAGGCCAACACCGGTCCCAAAGGTGTCATATCCGATGCACAATCCTATGAGCGTGCAAAGCAAAAGACTAGCAGACGAACATTCGGATATGATCTCAGTCCAGCAAAACATCAACAATTGACGTCTGAAAAGTTCCCACCTCACGACCCGTCGTCGGGGACAGAAGAAGATGATGACGAAGATGCTTTCATGCGAAAATGGAGGCAAGCAAGAATGCAAGAGTTACAACAGGCCTCACGGAGAGGGTCACCGGGCAGAAATAAGAGGAAATGGGGTAGACTTGAAACCGTTGGTGCAAACGGATACCTCGATGCAATTGAACAGACACCACGCAGCACCGTTGTCGTGGTTTGCATATATGACCCTGACG